CCTCGGTCACTAGTTCATCGACTTCAGCTTGCGACTTTCCGCAAGCTGAAGGTCATCCGCTATGCAGTTGCGCGACTAACTCTCGCTACTCGTCGCTACTTGAGGCGCTTCCGTTTCACTTCTTTCTTCTTCTTGACCATCCTGTTTTGGTTTCTACGAGTGAAATCGTCGCAGGCAGTTCGCAATGACTTTGTTGCTTTTTTCGTCCACAACGTTGAAAGCTAACATTCACCTACTAGAAGCATTCCAGAAATGCAATAAAACGAACGAATGCGTTTCTGTGTTCCGACGCAAATTATGCCATTAGCTCTTGATAGCTGTCAATCCAACGATTCGGAAAATAAAAAGAACTACACGCCACAATGCTCTAATCAAAAGTGCATATGACTGTCTGCCTATCAATTTCACCACGCACGATCTTAATTACAATAATTAGGAATGTAGCGCGCGCCATGTATGTTTTGCTTTGGATCAAGTTTCATGGTCTGAATATGAACCGAATGCACGTTTTTTTAACTAAACATTGCAAAGGTCCGAAAATGGTCCGAAAGGTTTAAATTTGCGTCCACTTTGTTCAATTTTTGCAATTTACTGTTACTAAGGGTAGACAGACAAATCTCATTAAAACGGAAACGTTTTAATTTTTCTTGACGCATTATATAATTCGATTCATCTGAAAGCTTGAAGTATTTAATACTATTATGAAGAAAATATACCACACAATACACATCACTTTACTTACTTGCAAAAAATTCTAAATCCATCTTTACCAAGAATTAGCATTTATTTTTTCACTTACATTTCTGTATCAACTTTTGATTGATATATTGATTCTCTCCACCTGCTATCTAAATCGCATATTAAAGTTCCGTCATTTCACTACCGAAAATATAACACTTTTGCGGTTGAGGGGGCGAATACAAATATATTATAATTCTCTCCACATGCTAAAAAACAATTCATCATTGGAAGAAAAAATACATATACTCGTGTTTTCAATCAAAGCAAAAAAGTTAAAATACATTTTTTGCTTATAAGTACAATACGAAAGAAACTCTGTCCTTTGCGAGATCTACAGTAATTTTATTACTTGTATTACTTTAGATACCATGTTAATCAGCTAACTTGTAACTGGGTACATAACCTGTTACACAACTATATAGTTATAATAATAATAATGATGACGATAAAAAGCCTACAAAATTTGTTTATCAATCTCTTTCAAAAATTAATGATACATAAATTTCACTTCAATATGTAGAATGACGCTTCTTTTGTGTTTGACAATTCAGCCTTATTTTTAATTTTACGCATCATATATAAAGCAATGTATTTTATTGATTTCCACCAAATTGAACAACATTCACCTTGAGAATAGTGTTAGACTGGATATTCCAAAGTTAACACGGTCATCTCCAAAAAAAAAAAAAATATGACGCCATCCAAAAAATTTATTAAATAAATCTTTATTGAAAAATATGTTTTGAAATATCGTAGTGTAAATTGTACAGGTTTTAAATTAAATCGTCACCTTTGGAATTTCTACTGACAGCCACAAAACATCAAAATTGATTGAAATCCTTGAACAAGAAGCAACGATTAGCCATCCGCCTTACAATTTATCGATTACCACACAGTGTGAAAGTAGAACAAAGTACCCTCACAAACCTTCCTGAGGTACCTGTACATATTTTTCTCGAAAAAAATCCGTGACATTAACGTCACAATAGCGAGATTTTTTTCTTATTTGGGAAAATATTTACACACGTAATCTCCCAATCTGTCAAGCAACGTTTGCTGAACTCGCACGAATATATATTTACCTTTTACATTATGAAAATTTTTCCTGACCTGCATAACTTATTAAAATTCAAAATGGTTTTTTTGCCATTCAGTTATAAGGGTCCGCATATGTATGTTCATTATCCGTTTGCAGTAGATTTTAATTGCAGATTGACCTGATTTTCATACAACAATAGTGAATAATGCATTCGACTGGCTTCTAATGTTAAAATAAGTGACGATTTGGAGATGTGGCGAAGGCATAATTTGAATCGAGGTGACCGAGATCAGTTTTGACAATATTTTAATAATAAGTAAAGAGCATCTTGTCGGGGGTTATCTCGAAGTGAATTGCAATAATAATTCATTACTTTAAATAGCATCCTGTCAATGCCATAATATGGCGCTATTTCCGTCATCCTCTATTTATTGTACCCAAATAAAATTAAGTACACAGAGATATGTCCACGTTAATGCGATAATGCAAGATAAATAAAAAATATAGCGTTTTGTGAAAATAAGATTTAATAAAGCGAGCACTGGGGAAAGGTCACGACTAACAAGTGCTTTTTGGTGATGACCCCCTATTAAATTACATTCGAATTGGCAGGACTTTTACGTCATATGTCCTAACACCGCCACTGGCGACTGTCCAAGACTCAGTATAAAAATTATTGGTCAATAACTCGGAATATTTAATTATAAATAGCCGATTAGTGTGAAAAACACGACGTCTGTTCCATTCATTATTGTGAAGAAAATAAAAAATATAATTTAGATGGGACCGGTTGACCGGCGGCCAAAAAACTTCCAGGAATTTCGAAAATACGAGAAAATTAATTATGTATAGACGTGTTAAATTTTGAGTACACACTTGGTAACCACTGAGGCAAGGACCAATTATTATTGTAATTTAATTCCGTCTGCCAGGATGCATCAAATAAACATGTAAATAGCAATGCAATAAATTTGACTGTCACGATGTTTTTTAAGGTAGCCTAGGTCAATCCTAGGGGCCCGCGTCAGCTCTATTTAGAGAAAAGTAAAAGTGGGCGCACTGTCTGGGAGCAAAGATTGGTGGCTACGCATTTTTGGGAAAACATCAAGATTACTTATTCAAGGCGACTAAGAAGATTTGCTTTGTGCCTTCGTCACCGATTAAATATTCACGAACGTTCCTCCGGGTTCCGGAAAGCTGTCTTTGTTATTGATTAATAACCCGGAATGAGAGGATACTAGAGGTGTTTTCCCCGAAGTAAAAAATGTGTAATGTCAGAAGGTCACATTCTATCGATTCTATGGTCTCGTACAACGACATTGGCGCATGGAAACTGAAAGTGGCAAAACAAACAGCTTCTATTTTAGTGGATCCTCATGACATTGTGCGAGGTCATGGTTTACGTAACTTAATAATAAAAAGCTACAAATACTGTGATATTTTTTATCAGTCGCACTGTTAGGTGCGATTATGACCCCAATGTCAACCAGATTAGAATAAAAAATCGTCTGATTTTTTTTTATCTCACACCAAAAATAAGCCCCAAATGCACTTTATCAGTGCGATGCTCCAAAAGCCAGTCAAGGTCGCTCCAGCGGAATATTTGCAGTACACACGGAACCAAAATTATAACAGGGTCTACACACGTGATAAAAGATGGCCAAAGATCACTCTGGGTTCTCCACCCTTCCCCTTGAGATAACAGTTGCTAAAATAAAAAAAATCGCGTCATTTTGTATAATTGGTGCGCTAATTGAGGCGATATGTAAATTTTGGACGGGCAATTAGCGAGGTTTTTATTTCGCCTGTTGTTGTTTCCTGGATTTGGAAATCTGACAGTTATCTTGCCTGAAATACCAGCTTGATAAATCGTCGCAATTAAACGAGAATTACAAGACAGGTAGGTGGAGTAATTCTGCAAAGTGGTCATTTCCTTCTACATAAACCCGACAAAACGAATTATAAGCAGTTTAGACAGAAGATGAAATTATTTAAAAATAAGATTAGTTTAAGTACACTGCGGTATTTTGCACACGGCGCATTTTTCTGCCCGAATAATTATACAACACGAAAAATCGCAGATCTGCTTCACTTACGATTTCTTATCTCCCGGTTTTTAACACTAACACGCCGTTCTTCCGGGTGAAGATCGACGTAATTACTCTATTTGCGATAAATTGTCGCTACAATAAAAAATCCTTATCAATCCAGGAAACCACGAGAATGTTGTTTGTTGAAGAGCACGCAAGAGCCAAAGCTTGCGCTGTAAAAAAAGATTGTTTTTATTTTTCTGACCTGCCCTAAATTGTAAATTGTTAGGACTGCCAACTTCGAACTGTGGGAGGAGACAGTCTGGAATATTTTTAACTTTTAGGTGCCTAGATTTAAAAATAAATAAAAAATCAACACCGCAAGAAAGAAAAACATCTTGTGCAAAACACAGGTTGCCAAATCTCAAGAGCTGACTTTTACAGAAACCCTAAAACATCCACCTGCACATATCACGCAAAAACCATTTTTTTTACTGGCTCTTTTCAAATCAATTATTTTGTTTTTTTGTTATGATTACGAACTGGTAGTCTTTCACAAATATGTATTGAAATTTGATGATTGGCAACAACAAATCAGAAATTTGATAAACATGTAGGTAAACACCACACACAAATTTTTAATTTCCAATTATTTCCAATTTTTTAGTGATTTCACAAAAGCAAACAATCAGAGATCAGTTTACTTGATGTAAGTATATTATTTTTTGGGGATGATCTATATGCAAATAGAATTGTTGTTTATTTGTCTTAAGAATTTGTTATATTTGTGTAATTTATTAGAGGTCCATATTTTTTTCTGTAGTACAAAAATAACTTTTTTATTTTTTTTTACAAACTTATTCTCCATTCTAGGCCCAAAAAGCAACCCAAAAAAAAATAAACCAATTCATATCATGTGGTGACTTGTTTTCGCAGAACACTATAAAATCATTTTCCTGAGCACCTCTTAGTTTGAAATAGGTTTTTTATCGTCACTTTTATTGTGGAATCATATCTCTCCCGTTAATATTAGACCGTGGAAGTTTCCCTAGCTACATGTAGCTCGTCTAATAAACCGTTGGATATATTCTAACATTTCAAAAAATTTAGCGCCATGCTCATAGAACTCCCAACGCCTTTTTTATCTGATCTCCACCAATACGTAAACCCGAACAAATCTGCCTACTTACTTGATGTAAGGGGCTGGTAAAACTGCTGCGACATGTGACTCGGTGCCCTCTGTCCATGATGGGCGGGTGACGACCACGACAGGGGGTGTCTTGAGAATAAGTTGCCTACGGGGGAGTGTATTGAGGGTTGTAATCTGGCCTTTAATTCGTCAGTCGATGTGTGTCCACTCGATGAGCTATCTACGTCCGAAACACCAGAATCTGCTGGACTCGGTGGTAAAGAACCTGAAAATTTCGGGACGAACGATTTGAAAAACGTATTTAGATTCTACTGAAGCGTGAAGGTGAGTAATTTTCGACTATCACGGTTAGCAGGAAATTGAGTGCGAGGAATTTGTAGCGTCTTTTTGTTATCAGGGTTCGTGGTATATGATAGGAATCGCATGCTATTAATCTGCTTACTTTTAGATAAAGGCAGGTATATGCAGGCAGACGGAAGCACGAGTTTGTTCATCGATCGTGTTGATGATACGCGACGTGAAATAAGATAGGAGGAAGAGGAATTGAGAGGCAAGGGAGAGATTGCAGGGATGATAATGACGTGTGTTCAAATGAAAATTATTCATTGACTGTAGAAATTAATTTATCGGGGTTTGTTTATTAGTCCTTTACATTGTATTTTCTAGGCGTATGACTGGGTTTTGCATGTTGTGAATAAATGTTACTTGCTGAGATGAATTAATCTGAGCTCTATAAGACAACAGTAACTATACATTTTTCTGGATATGTGTCTTATTTTTCTTTTCATTTTTTCTGACTACTAGTTTCAAGAAAACCAACACCACCACCAACACCACCACCGTGACCACCACCAACAGCAAGTACGACATTCTATTTGAAGCATTTAATAACCAACCTGAAATTACGGCGTTTCAATAATCTGCAAGAATATCAAACTTCGCATAAAAAGTACTACACTGATGGTGATGACATCGCTTTTAATGTTACATATTTCATTTAGATTTAATTTTGAAAAACTGTACGCTGGAAAACTTGAAATAATTGTCTAATTCATTGGACAATAAATTAACATCACATGGGCAATAGAAAATGTATCGACTTTATCATTTTTATTTACAGACGACCTTTATACCTTAAATACTTCCCAATTTATACCTAGAAACTATTGTTACTATTATTACGGTCAGTCATTTTTATGGATCATGATTATCATTGAATTTATCAAAGTTGAAACTAACGTAATTTGTCTCGGAGAAAGTAGATGGACAAACATGTAGACAAAGAGGACAGTGAGAAGAAATGAGAATCAAAAAGGAAAAAGGAGAAAGATCTTGGGTTCATGTTGAGATAAATATGCCCGGAAATTAGTGCATTGTTTTTATTGATCAATTTATTGTTGACAGGGATCTTGTTATTTTCAATGCAAGCTGGAATTCCGCCTTACCTAAATAATTAAATTAATCCAAAAAAAGCTCTTACAAAAAGTAGAAAACCTTAAATTCAACTGCAACTCGACCTTATCGCTTCCTTGATATTGTTCCGCCATCCGTGATAAGGATGTCTATGTGTATGTAGCCCAAGGATACAAAGGACACACTCGATAATAGAGCCGAACCCGTTGAAAAACCCCCAGAAAATCGTTATAATCGCAATAGTGAAAAGGGCAATACGTGTCCGACTCCAAAATAAATCAAAACATTCCTGGTGGTGAATGCTTATGCAAATTGCGGACAATCGGAGTGACACCGTCCGATTAAAAGAAGTGACCATCAGAATGAAACCCCAAGTTCTCACGTAGTATCCTTTGAAAAACAGCAAATCGCAATCAAAGTATCCAACGGTCATCGTAGGTAACGACATAATCGGGAATCTCACAGCGGGCCAAGCGCAACGACCGAAGGCAAATCCGGCCTAAGAAAGGGTAAGAAACGGATGGGCGATTGTGCTTGGTCCCAACAGTGACCCCGTCTTGTATAATAGATATGATTAATGGGCAGCGAGGTCAGCAGGTCACGCCGGACATTAAGGGATGGACCGGACATCGGTTCGCGGAATTAAAACAGGTTCGCGACGACAAAAGAACGGGTTGCACATGCCAGGGGTGTGTTGTTTATTTACTGCCGGTCGAGGGGTGCAAGGCATGCGTGACTAATGGCCCGAGAGGGAACTATGCGGACGCATTTCTAGCTTCCTCCAAGGATTTGCAAATCTTATCAACAAAAAATACCACTGTTGAATGACGAATTCGAGCAGGATTTCCAAAAAGTAGATCAACTATGAAAAAAAAAAATTAACAAACCAACAATTTTTAACACCAATCAAGTTTTAGTTTCAATCGCTCTAAAACGTTGAAAATACTAAAGTTTTTGTTTTGAAATCATGGTTTTAAAAAAATCTCAAATCATGTTTTACCCTGGCACAGGCCGTATCGTCAAAATATGGGTATGTTCTTTAACTTCTTTACTGAAGGCAGGTATTGCCAGATTACATTTGAATGAAATGTTACAATGTAATTTTATGCGATACTCAGCAAAATATTGTCGATTTCAATCTTTATGTCTTTATCGCCTATACGCTTATACTTCAATTCCAAACTTGTTGACAAGACGATACCGTGAAAATTCGATTACGGGTTACCGAATTACACCATCCAGTCCCAGACATTATGATTCATGTGAAATACAAGTTCACAAGATGTGTGAACTAACTACGCTAAATTTTAATTATTCTTCACGAAGTAAACAAGACATTTTTTATATCCATTGTTGCAACTTCATTTTTCCTAGTAATAAACTGTGAGTTTTGTGAAGATTTCCATAAAAATAGTCTTGCTAATAACTGAATATCAAAACAGAATAGCAAGATTTCACTTTACATGTTACAGAGTACCGCACGGAAACCGAGTTTTTTTGACAGTCCATTAGCCGAGTCAACAATCGTCCCGAGATGAGATGATAAAATTAATTTATATTGATTGATTAGACTGAATACTCTTGTTTCTTTACTATTCCCTTTTTTATACCATAGTAATAAATAAAAAAATTTTACGTTGCCATAAATACTACTACGAGAAGTACAAATTTTATGGTCAGGTACTTTCTAGACTTGACCTTATCAATTGGCTAAAGTTAAAAATAATCGAGTCAGTTATTTCACCCATAATTTTGAAAGTCAAATTAATAATACAAAATTTATCTCAAAATATCCGTAAAACAAGCCATGAATCCTACCACTTCACGAATCACCTAGACTGTCCTAGACTATACAGAAATATCTGTGCTACACGTTCGTAGTCAAAATTGGCTCGCAACTAGGCACGTATGTATAACATTATTTCCACTGGGTTCCAAATTAAGAAAAATAAACATGTAAAAAATGTGGAACAGGTTACATAAAAAAATCATTGTCTGTAATGGTAAAAAAATAGCCCAATAAGGTTACTTCCATTTAAAATAACATCAGGATTTGTTGATGTTTATGAAGAAGTAGATCTCCTGTGGCCATCTGACTGTCATCTATTAACGATCTTATTAGATGCATAATCCCCGAAACTACTAGTCTGATTATTGTGTAGTTTTAGATGTATTTTAATATCATGGACATTATTGTATGTACATATAGAAATATGTACCAACTTTCTGCCAAGTAAACTCTATTTAAAATGTGCTAAATAATATGATGTTGTAGCTGCTATTTATTAATAATACACCCATATTTGTAACCTTATACATGTAAAATTCGAAACTGTACAAAAAATTTTACAATTTAGAACTTATCTTGAAAACTTAGAATCCATTGTTCTAAAATTTTCGCTTTCAAGTTATCAGTTATTCAAAAACGTGATGACGTCATCTCAAGATTTAGTTTATACAGCATAGCATGTTCGTTTACCTGTAGTATAATAATCCACTCCTACTTTTATATGAACATATAAAAAAAAATGAAGCTGAACTTGTGTGATTGTACCTCAGAGCCGATGGAAGTCTAAAGAACCACCCAACAACAACAAATGTCAAAACGGTACAAAAAGTCGGTTAAGTTACACCGTCTATAATTCAAATTGAGTTAATTATTTCAATAAATTTTTTTGTGCCTTTACAATACCCACGTAAAATGTAAAAACGCGCAAAAATCCACTGTCGCGTAGGATATTTTCACTAAGAGAAAGCAATGAAGTAGAAAATGAAAAAAAGAAGTGTTTAGAAAATGAATTATCCTTATGTGTTTTTAACAAAGTGTAGTAAAACCAGTAAGACGTCTTTTTACTGAAATGAAAACTACCCATAATTCATTTAAATAGAACCAGTAATCTATTAAACTAAACAGTAATAAAAAAGCAACAGTTAATAATACGTTCTTCTTTAATAAATAATAAATATATACAAGTAGTTATAACGTTAGTCCAGCTCAATACTAATTAAATACGAAAAAAGAATTAACCGTTTTTTTATATCAGAGCGTTCCGAGATTCTTGTAATTCCAGTTCCGTCATATTAATAGCTATCATCACGACAAATTGTCCTTCTGCAGGCCGGCGTCTTGGGATTTGGCCCAATGTCCCAGGATCTCACGAGGGATTAGAGAAGTCGGCATGTAAATGGTTTATCACATTAGGAAAGGTGTCGGGACACAGGTAAAGAGGCAACAAGATCAGTGCCTTCCAACAATGTAATTACAAAGTCTTTGACAAAAGATACAGCACCTGATAGGAGCGAGGACAAAGAAAATGGACCACTCCAATCAAAACAATGTAAATGACACCGCATGGTCTATGACCCAAGCGAATAAAGTCGCCCAAAAAAAGATAAGGGTAAAAAGCTTAAAGGATCACATAAATACAGAACAAAAGTGCTGAAAAGGATGAAGTGCTCGGTTCAGATAAGAAGTGAAAGATTTGAGGATCCTCCGAGAACGTTAAATAACTGTGGATTTGGACGCAATAAACAAAAATAAAGAGAAGAATAGGGGTGAGCGGAAAAAATCAAATTAGGGAGTAATGGGGAGAAGATATCAGATTACGCTTTAGTTGACCACTTAACTGACCACCTAACGGCATTCGCCTAGCATTTTCCCACAGCCGAGGATTACGTATCGAGTTTAAAGTTTATCTATTTAAGGGTTGAAAAATTGAGTGTAGAACCGGACATCACTTCTGGACTGACCAGTCGGTTATCAAAAGTCCGACAAACGAGTCGGTCAGTGGTCACTAATTCCGCTCAGAACTAGTTTTCCGGTATACGTTTGATGTAATTTTTCCTGATAGGCCTTTGTGGGGCGATTTTTGGAGACGTTCCAGTCAAAGGGGTCGCTCTATTGAAGGGACTTCGATTTTTATTGAATTATTCCATTCGAAAACGCTAACCGACGCGCCACAAAGGGCTGCCAAAGGACAACGACACCAGCAGCCGTTGTGGTTTTTGACGGAGTTTCGTCAAGATCAATATTATCCTTTTCATCGCTCAAAGCAAACACTTTTAAGTAGTGTACCTACTTTTGAAAGTCGAACTGTCACCCTCTGCCATGATTTATTATTCTAACACTTTCACCCTCCCACCCAAAATAGGCCGAATATTCAAATTTCCACCCGGAGAACAGCTGCCGATCGCCATTGTTTGCTCCGGCAAAAATATACCATTGCAAAGTACACACTCACAGATTGCACAGGATTATGCAGTTTTCGTGTTTTCGAAATACGGATTTTAACACGTGCGCAAGGGTTATTCAATATGGCTTCATTCATTTTGGTCAACACATGCATCTGCTCAAGCTGGATACATACAAACAAGAAAAGGGGTGAAATGTCAGAAAACAACTTGCATGACACACGATGGACAAAAAATGAGGTGTTAATGATGCTCGCTAATCACAAACCAACATACCAGTAGTGCCTGTCGTCGTGGGATGATACACCGACTTCCTTCTGCCATAATCACACAAAGAGGGATGATGTTGGAGATCTGTACGTTGTCTTGAAAGAAGCTGGTGTAGGTAGTTGTTCTGTTCTTTGTCGACTGGAACAAAGAATCAATTAGATCGGGATGTCATTTACAGTGATAATTTTTCGTATTGTGTCATGATGAAGAAAAAACACGTAAGTTAGCTAAAAATAAAATAAAGTAGACTGGCGTTGTGCCCAATTTTGTGGCGAAGCTTTGTTTCGTATTTTCAAACTATCAATTAATTATTTCATTGCTTAATGAAAAGTGTTAAAATATGTACGTGCTGTTTAGTACAAATGGAAAGGTTTCCAAATCATTCCCATACTTACGTTATCCGGGTTAATGTCTACATTGTGTTTATGAATGCTACTTAGGCTATCTTTGTTTTAGACAATGTTGATATTACATAACGTAGTCAAATCAGGGTTTTTCGTGCAATAAATTCCAATATTTATGAAATTTCCGGAGATTCAACTCAATTTGATTTTTTTAGGTTTCAAAAATTTGTTGCTTTTAAGTAAAAATGTTATGTTCTACTTTTGTATATTTGCTCCCTCTCAAATCCTCTTTGTGTGACAACGCAAGGAAATGGTGAAGTTTTTTTTAATTTATCAGTGATCAAAATATATACAAAAAGTCTCGATAACCTCAAAACGTGAACATCTAGGTAAAGCGTCGATGTTGGAAATTTTACATCGTTGACGTTTTTTCTTCATGTTTGTGGAATGAAATTTAATAAGTGAAAGAACAAGATTAATAGTTCTCCCTTTAATGGTCCTAGGAATCCATCAGGAGAGTTTCTACTCAAATGTGCTACGAAATTACACTTTGTCTCTTCTGAGACAATTTCAAAACGGATAAAGGCTAATTTAATGCACAAGTAAATATTTTTGCGTTGGTTGTTTACACTATTTAATTTAATACGCCTGCAGTGTTTTTCTCTTAATTATTTATTTACTGTAAATTCAAGTTTCTCTTTCAACTAATTATGCTTAATTCAATATTAATTGAATGTACTTATTAACACCGACACTACAAGCTATGTGGAATGCCGCCTACGAAGTACACACAAGAGTGTAACTTCCTGAAGAGTACCATTAATTCCTGACATGTTAAACCTTCACAAGAGATATTAACCTGTTAATTTCTAAATTGGTGACATTACATCTTTTTTCTAATTTCGATTTTTAGAGTGAAAACGCTTTTATTTCTATAATTAATTTTAAGTGTAAGCAGAAACACTCACTGTCCCACATAACACGAGTTTTTTTTTATTGAGGAAATGCCCATCTTTATAAAAACAATTTTTTCTAACCTGTGAATACAATTAAATTAATAGGATCTACAGCCGCGTTAGAAAACAGAAAGAACGCCCAAGCAATGGGACCGGAAGGGAAAGTTCCCTTGACCCAAATGAGAATCACTTATAGAAGTTAACGGACGATCTCTGTGTTCAATTTCGTCATATTTTCACCGTCTCGCTCAATAATATATCACAAATTATTTCATCGAGGAGCAATAAATTGCCGTACCCTCAAAACGTCTCCAATTACAAAACCGTATTAGTGTGAAGAATGTGGGAAATGCTCATCGCGTCAAAAGCACGATTACGGCAAGTAGAGTCGATCGGGAATCGAGTGCCCTTTGAGAAACCGCCATGTGGTGCTGCCACCATCGCAACTGGGCCAAGTCTATAACGAATGATCAATAGTACTTATACATACAGTATGTACAATTATGTAATCCACGTACATGCGTACCGGTATTTATTTTTCTAGAGTTGCCGGCCTTAACCCAGTTCGCAACTTACTTTAAGCAAGTCGTCGTTACGTAATAGCCGGTTCAGAAATACCAACTTCCTTTAAAAGGACTCGTTTTTTCAGCCTCATTACAAAATTAACAGCCGACCGATCGATACCTTTCGGGCTCCAAAATCTGACATTGAGACAAGACGGAATTTTTGGGAGCTATTATACAATAACAAAACGCCAGCAAACTCGGTCTGACATGTATTTTTACGTAGTGAGAGCGAAATCATCGTACGTGTTCTACATACCTCGTTTCAACACTTTTAACCGGCTGGACGCCACTGCTCCATCTGTCAGATGACGTGACGTAACTGGCGCATCCCGAAAAGCGGGCCTTAATCACGCAATGTGAAAACAACTGATTTCGAATCAGCGCTATTTTGTGTTTTCGGTGACTAACAAAGCGGAAAAGAATAATTATTTCCTTTATTTCATCAACTTCCCCTACACAAAGTTGATATTATCTACCAAAGGTTAACTGCAGGAACTAGAGATAAATTAAATATGAATACAATGCGCTACGTCGCGGCTGCTGCGATACGCCAGTGGCGTCCGCTCGGTCGTAAAAGAACTAGTATCACACTACAACTACTGAAAAAATAAAAATCGACTTATTTTCTACTATACAGAGATATTTTTTTTTACAAATGATAACTTTGTCAACACGCTTAACCCCATCACCTTAAAGAGATGAGTTACGTTGAATGAGGCGATTGCGGTTTTTATAGCCTATGATTTATGTATTTATATACAACGGTTGGACTGCAACTGGATAGAACCACTTAAAAAATATCGATGTCAAATATCTACATCCAGAGCATTCTGTTGTCTAACCCTTCTTTCTACAGTTTATCAGGCTAACTTATTTGCAACTCCACAAAAGAAGAAAAAACGTCTTCTAACGAACTTAACCTCAATTCGATCCATCTATCGCTAGACACCCATATAAGGTAATTTTAGTCTCATGGAAAGTTTAAGTCTTCTAATTCACAGAAAAAAATCAGATTTACAAAGTTCAAACACTCCTGTGGTTTTGGCAGGGATACTGATCATTGCAGGAGATTTTTAAGCTTCAAATAAATGTTTGTACTTGGCACTAGCGCGAAAATATGGCTTTTCGTTGCCTGCACATGTCGAAAATAGTTCGATTTCCGTTTTGTGACGACCGCAGAAATAAATTCATTCATGAAGGAGAGGCGCAGAGTTGCTAACTGGGTCAGAAAAGACTCGCTTTCGGATAAAAAGTAGCCTAGTTGTATTTACGCTTTCCGCGGACAGACCACTTTTATTAAAACTTGCTTTTCAATTTAAATGTAGCGTAACGATAAGGGTAATCTAGTTATAATAGGTGCGATGCTTCTGCAAACAGTTTAAACAAACAGGCAAAAAAGTCTGCCATTGTATAATAATTTGGCAATGACACAAAAATTGTAATAATAGCTTAACAGACGTCAGCAACTTTCACTGTTATCCGCGTAATATCATTAAACAAAACGTAGGTACCCATTATTACAATCAGCGGTACAGTTTTGGGTGGGTTCGGCCGGCGTTTGCCGATTTAAATGACAATGCGTTATGCATATGGAAAGTCGAAAGTCAGCGGCAATCCCATTTGTTGTCGCGATTATCTAACCAAGAAAATCCAGACAGTACGATTTTATTTTATCGCCAAGTCTGCACCTATAAAATTTTCATAAAGCGTTCATTGTTTCCGTTCCGCGGCAGATTTTACGGGTTTCTGCGTATTTTCCAAGAGCATGGGTCGATATGGCTAGACGAGCGCCCTTTCGTGCTGGGTCAACGCCATACAGGTCATATGCATTCGTCCTATTTGCATGTCTGCGATTTCGCTCTTCCAAGAAAGTGGCTAAATTGATACACACGTCAAGTTGTGCTTAGTTTCCATTTCCGCGCGATTAAGCGGATTATCAATCACATGTATCCGACTAAATATCGCCAGGATTTATCGCCTGCAACTTTCTTAGCAATGACATTGAAAGTGGTTTTTTTCGGCACAAGTATCAGTAAATATTTTGCTAAGATCGCAAAACACAAAAAAAATCGTCAATATTTTAAAGTCAGTGGCCAACTTATGTAAACCACGGCTAACGCTAATACTAATTTAAGAAATTATCGCTGATCATGTTTATAATTTGGTCGAATCAAATGTTTTCCAATTTTTTTCCGTCAACCTCTGTCGTAAGATTTGTGTTTGTTTCTCGAAAATCGGCGATAACACGGATCAGATTCGTCCCATTACGTAATTGTTAATAGTTTTTCTTGCAGTATCAGTTATTTGCCGATTTTCGTTTACGATATAGAGTCATTGACTTATTTTTTCATTGCCATTTACGTAAATTCCGCTAATCCGCTATTTTTTTTCGCATGGCATGACCGCAGAGCTGTGCTTGTGTGCGCACGGCTTAAGGAAGATCGCTCCAGACGTCAAAGTCCACCTTTAGCTTCCGCGCATTTACCACGAATAAATAACGCTGTCAAGGTTTTTTTAATAATCGTTAAGCGTTTTCAGGAATGCGTCGTATGAATAAATCTGGCACTAAATGCAAGGAGAATTTCGGCGTCTTTTGCGGCACAACCTACTTAATTAAGTATTGCCAAATAAATAATATCCGAACAATTCTTTCTCAGTTGGCAACTTATCGCGAGTTACTCAATTTTGATCAAGAGCCTCGTAAAATCTGTTTTCCTGTTCCTATTTCGAGCCTCATAAATTGGCACAATTTTTCGGCTATTTTTTATTGCACCGATTTAATAAGCGGCGGAGGAGGCGCGAATTATCGCTGTTGCTCAATTTGGGTCAAACAAGTGGTATATTTTTCGAGAGTGAATTACTGCAATGTAAAAATATCGTTGCACATGCAGAATCTTGTGACTGACCTCATTAATTCTGCATCAACAACTCTCAGCGCCGCTTTATCACTTTGTGGATTTAATTGGGTTTCCAGGGAAGTCTGCGCTTGCCGCCAGATAAGCTCGTAAATACTCTACGACCAGGAAGGTCACTCGCGTTGTGTAATTCCAAAAGGTGAAAATTCGATGGAGCGAACAATAAGAACTTGATTATATAATCCTCCTACGAAACCGTGTGGATCTGGTCGCACTTAAGATGGAATTGGGTCAAAGCATGTGAAATACTTGTGATTTTCTGTTACCTCGCCGACCTCCATTAAGACGTTGCGATGTTGCCAAAACCGCTTCCAGTGAAAGTGACAAGCATCAAGGTTGCATCCATCATGATTTCCG